ACACACACACACACACACAATTATGCATACAATTTAGATAAATGTCAGTTAATTTTAGTTGTGACAGTTATTTTTAATAAATACATGCCACTTATGATACTTTTATCTTCATATGTATCTTTTTTTTATTACAGAAAACTGGTTATTGTGGAAAAGCAGGATAATGGAACATTTGGATTTGAGATTCAGGTAGGCAGTTTTCAAAATTTTCTCATTTTTTGGGAACTTTTCTTTTGCTCTATCTAAATATCCATCTATATTATTCATAATATATTTACATTTGATGTATGTCTTAGGCTGGGTTTTGTACAGAACTAAAAGCAGTAAAACTTTATATATATTGTAGACGTGGACAAGTCCTAAGTCCAGGTCAGCTGAACCAAGATTGACAGTTCTGGCAGGTGGACAGCTGGAATGGATCCCAGGATTGATAGGTAGTAGAGTAGACTATGGGCTCAAGTTGAAAGAACTGGAGATTGGAGGATGAGCCAGATGCAAGATGAAGACCCAGCAGAAAGCAAACAAGCCTTGCCTAGTGTCTAATGTACAGAAATCAGGCCACACCCCTGAGGAACATCCTTTCAATTAATTGACAGCTCATAGCAAACTCATTATAGAATTGCATTATAGAACTCATCATCGTATTAGATCTTACTATGGCGATAGCTACAGCTCACCCTCCAAACCACTGAGAGTCCTGGCCCAGTTAAGTTGACACAAAACCTTAACTATGACAGTCCACCCCTTGTCAACCTGGCACCTGTACATAGTTCCTTAAACCATATACAAAATATCTAAATAAAGACAAGTATAGAGTCATACTTGTGCCTAACATGACAAAATTAAAATGCATACAACCAAAAATGCACTTGTCCCATTTACATCTTCTATTTCACAAGTGAACAAAGAAAAAATATATGATGTACACATGCAAACAAAATATTTTCATAACAATTACAGTTCTCATTTCTGTAACTGGTCATGTGGCCATTACTGGTATTTGGAACTACCTTCTTCAACTATCCATTCCGTATTCCCTTTGCCCTTGGCAAACACACCAGCTGGTGGTCCTGTCTCTGATGGAATGACCCAAACTTTTGTTCCTGTAGGTTCTGGGCCATTAGTAGTGATGTTGGAATTGGGTTGCTGTAGTTTATCGTTGACTTTAGTCACAGGCATTGTAGTGCTAAAAGATGCCCAAAGAATCGCCTGGATTCCGCACATAATCTTCTGTACCTCCATTGTTGTTGTTGTTGTTAAGTGCTGTCGAGTCTGTTCTGACCCATGGTGACCCTGTATAAGATTTCTGAAAAGTGGCTGGTGGGTTTGAACTGCCGACCTTGCAGTTCAAACTGATCTTGCAGTTTAGCTTGTTATCCTGAAGTACCACGTCAGGACTCTTTGTGTAATGTTAATCCAACTGCCATATTTGGAGTCTTGGTGTGTTGCTGTAGGATAAACACTGAACTGCTAAGTGTGTGAGGTCTTCAGTTCAAATCCATTAGCCATTCCTTGGGAGCCCTATACAAGGTCACTGGGAGTGCAAGCCAACTCAATGGCACTTAAAAACAAAAAAAACAGCAATCAGGACTTATTTAGTACAGCAACTTGTTTCCTTTCCTGTTGATCAAGTGGTATGAGAAGTGCAACACGGTCAGGGGACTTTCTTAAATTCCAGTTCAGTGGAATCAGTGCTGTGGAAATATTGGGAGTATTCCTCCCTTTGGAATTGAAATGTCCAGATCTGAAGAGCAAATTGTAGCAGGTACAGGAAACAAAAGTTTTAAAGTGGGTCAATAGGAGTAATAGTGAATGGAGCCACTCTTAGTTCCACCCATTTGTTCTAAGACCAATGAATCTTGTCTATTAGATAAACAGCACCATGTTTGGACTCTGGTTTAGAACATATACAGCTTCCTGGAGAACATTGCCGGAACCTTGCAAGGTATTGCCACCTAGCTGGCATTGTAATTATGTCTTTAGAAGGCCATTCTATCGTTTGATCAAGCCAACTGCTTCAAGATGACGAGGAACATAGTAATATCTATAAATTCCATAAGCATGGGCTCACTGCTGCACTTCATTTGCTGAAGAGTGGGTCCCTTTATATGAGGTAATGCTGTGTAGGATACTATGCTGTTGGATAATGCATTTTGTAAGCCCATGGTTAGTAGGTTGGGCAGAATCATTGCATGCAGGAAAGGCAAATTCATATCCAAAGAAACTGCCTATTCCAGTAAGAACAAAACGCTGTCCTTTCCATGATGGAAGTGGTCCAATGTAATCTACCTGTCACCAGGTTACTGGCTGAACTCCCCAAGGAATTGTCCCACATCTCTTACTCAGTGTTTGGTTTCTGCTGCTGGCAGATTGGTCACTAAGCATTGGATGTATCCAAGTTAGCCTTGGTGAATGGCAGCCTATGCTGTTGAGCTCATGCATCCCTGCCATCATGGCCACTTTCTTATTGAACCCATTGGGCAATGACAAGAGTGGCTGGAGAAAGAAGGTGATTCATTTCTACAGAACTTGTCATCTTTCCACTTGTTAAAATCCTCTTCTGCTCAGGGAACCCTTTGGTACATATTCACATGAAACAGAAGTATCCTCACTTTTTTTTGCCTATTCAAAGATGTCTATCCACACACCTCTTTCCCACACGTACTCATCACCAATTTTCCAACTGTGTTCCTTTCAAGTCCCTGACCATCCAGCCAAATCATTTGGCATAGCCCATGAAACAGCATATAGGCACACATCTGGCCATATCTCCTTCTAAACAAAATGGACACCTAGGCGTGTCACTTAAAGTTCTGCCCATTGGGATATTTCTTTTCACAATTGTCCTTTGGGGAAGTTCCAGAAAGGGCTGTAGTGCTGCTGCTGTCCACTTTTGAGTGGTGACTGCATAAAGTCAACCTAGAATTTTCTCTTCCTCAGTCAACTGATCATAAGGCCATACCTATGTTGACTGGGAGAGGGAAGGTAATGTGACAGGAGTGGAGATCATGGGCATTTGGGCCACTTCCTCATATATCTTACTTGTGTATGACGAAGTGGCCCATGCCTGGTGTTGTATCTACCACTTCCATTTAGTGATGTAATGCTGCTGTGCCCATCCAACTTTAATACTCAGATAACACCCAGTTCAGAATGGGTAGTTCAAGTCACATAGTGATTTGGTGCCCATGGTTAGGTGTTCAGTCTCTGTGAAGGACCAGTCACAAAGTAAATGTTGTGTCTCAAAAGGAGAGTAGGTGTCTGCATAGGATGCCAGGGCTTTGCTCGAAAATCCGAAGGGTTTATGCTGTGATTCACTGATAGGGGTCTGCTGGAGACTCCAAATTACCTCTCTATCTGCCACTGCCACTTCAAGCACTGCTGGACCAGCTAGATCATATGACCCAAGTGGCAGAATAGCTGGCACAACAGTCTGAGCTTGTTGTAGAACCTTTTCTTGTTCTGGGCCCCACTCAAAATTAGCAACTTTTCAAATCACATGATAGTAGGCCAGAGTTGTTGTTAAGTGCCGTCGAGTCAGTTCTGACTCATAGCGGCCCTGTACAGGGTTTCCGAGGCTGTAAATCTTTATGGGAGCAGAAAGCCTCATCTTTCTCCCATGGAGCAGCTGGTAGTTTTGAACTGCTGACCTTGCGGTTCATAGCCCTATTCATAACCACTACGCTACCAGAGCTCCTTAGTAACACACCCAAATTAGGGATCTGTTTCTTCTCCAATCCAAAGAGGTCCACCAGGCACTGTGCTTCTTTTATAGTTGTGGAAGAGAACAGACGCAATAACTTATTTTTCATTTTAGTAAGAATATCTCCACATGCCTCACACAACTGAACCCCCTAGAAATTTCACCAAGATGAAATGTGACAAACAGAATTTTTGTCAGGTTAATTTTCCACACATTAACATGCAGATGTTCTACCAAAAAGTCTAGAGTCATTGATACTTCTTCTTCCCTAGTCCAACCAGCATAACGCTGTCAATGTAATAGGCCAGTGTGATGTCTTGTGGCAAGGAAAGGCAATCAAAGTTCCTTCAGACTAAATTATGACATAGTGCTGGAGTATGTACTGCTGATGTAGGGCAGTGAATGTGTATTGTTTGCCCTGCCAACTGAAGGCAAACTGCTTCTAGTGACCCTTAGAAACTGCAGTTGGGAATAAGGCACTTGCTAGATCAATAGCTGCAGAGCAGGTACTAGGAAGTGTTTTAATTAGTTCAAGTAATGGCAAATCTGGAACACTAGTTGCTATTGGAGTCAACACCTGGCTAATTTTATTATAATCCCTTGTTATTCTCCAAAATCCATTTATGTTTTCTACAGGACAAATAGACAAGTTAAATGGGGAATCATCACTCCTGTATCCTAATCTTTGCAATGCCTCCAGGAATGAGATATTGCTTTTGGTTTACTATTTTCCTTAGGAGCTCTAGTAGCATAGTTACTAGCCAGGTTGTTAATCTCATCGTCAGCAGTTTCCAAATGCCAGTGGTTCCATGGGAGAAAGATGAAGTGTTATGCTCCTGTAAAGATTTACAACCTTGGAAATCCTTTACAGGGTGGCTGTGAGTCAGAACCAACTCCACAACACGTACTCACTGCCTCTGTTTTCCTAGATTGAGGTAGTTACGATGGCTTACATTTGGATATCCAATCATGCTAGCCCTTATTCCACATTTCAAGGATACAATATAGGGGTTCTGCCAAGTTCTGAGTATATATGCATATATATTCTGATTATCCATTTTGGAACTGGGGAAATCACTGCAGGAAGAGTTTGGGAAGACCCACTGGACCCACAGTAAGATAGACCTTTGCTAGGTCTTTACTAACAGCTTGACTTCCATATGCACCCACTCTGACTGGTGGGCCAGAGTGTCATTTTGGGTTTCCTGGAATTAATGTCAATTCGGTCCCAGTGTCCAGTAACCCCTGAAAAGTCGGATTATTTCCTTTTCCCTAGTGAACAGCCACTCTTGCAGAATGCCATAGATCTAGAGAAAGATAACTAGCTGTCAGTGTAGTCTTCCTCAAGGGGACACAGCCACACTGTCAAACAAGGGGCTGGAGGTCTGTAAACTGGATTATGTCTGGGTATTGACTGAGAGGCCATGACCCTATTTTGGCAATTTAAGTTAGACTGCCATTCACTTGATCTTGAATCCTTCCTCTT